ATGTTGCTTGTACAACTGTGTGGCCGTAAACACCGTTTAGTTGATACTATTGTGAGTTTCATATGACCATACTAATTGACTATTGACCTCTACGACGTTTTTCAGGCATCAGAAAGTTAATGGCGTTTGTCACCCCAGGCTTACCGGCCTAGCTGTTGCGAGCAGATCATGTGCGGGATTGTCAGTCCCGTATAGATCTATACACAAACCCACACTCTCCCTCCAGGAGACTCTGGTTATAATTTGTAATATTTGAACCTGTACCCTGGTTGGTACAATGAAGTAGTGCCTCACAACCCTTTATTAACTAGTTTACATGTAGTGTTATAGTGTTCTCTTGTATTAGTTACCGTTTGTATTACCTTGTAGTGATGCACTTTGTAATATAAAATAATTATACTTAAATAGTTATTTAGTATTGTACTCTTGTATTCGCGAAATCATATTGTATACCATAAACTATATCTACCATGGTTTATATGTTCGTTTCTATATAATGTTCTTGAAGTTATAAAACAGTGTGATGTATCCCAAACTATACCCATTATAGTTTGTATGTATGTTCTCATTTCGTGTATTGAATTCTGTAAAAGTAATGTGATGTACCCAAACTATATCAACTATAGTTTAAATGTATGCTAGGTACTATACTGAAAACTTTGCAATTTTTCCTATATGTTGGAAATTACCCTTATTCTCGACATATTACAAAAGGGTTAAAAATATCTAAATATTTTCATAAAATGTAGTGATTACTCGGTTTCTATCAATTGCAAAAGTTTTTAATTTGTTTGAAATTGTTTGTATGAAAAAATAAAAATCTTAATGTTTTACTTGTATTCACACCCCCCCTCCCATGAAAACATTAAAATAGTGAAAATGTATGGGTATGAACTCCCCTCAAAAGTGTGTCAACTGGAATTAGCGAGTTGTAGAAACGATCTCCGGCTAACCGTACACGCTAATAACGTTACCCTAAAAATAATTATATCTGACGTCGTATTTAACATAATTATAAATTAATTTAAATAATGTGTTAAATAATTAATTATGTAAGAAATACTTACATAAATTAATTTGGAAATAACAGGAAATGTTTACGGATGAATGCGGTTGCAAAATAGAGTTTTCGGTGGGAGTTTTGGGTTTTCGGTCAAGACATGAAGACTTGAAGATCTTGTTGAATGTTATTGGTGTTCTTGGTGAATTTATGAAGATCCGAAGATCTTCTGGGCAAGAAACTTATGAGTTTTGAGAGAAAAATTAGCAAGAATTTGTTGTGATTAAGTGGGAAATAAGATTGAATTCGGCCGAACACACACACACACACACATATATATATATATATATATATATATATATATATATATATATATATATATATATATATATATATATATCATTGGGAATTCGGTCTTAAGGGGCTTGGGCCTTCGGAGAATTCAGTTCTAATGGGCCATTTTTAGGAGAATTCAATCATGCCAAGACCTAATTCATCTTTGATTGTTTGATATGGCTGAAAACAACAATTTCTTTAGATTCCAAAAACCGATTTCACCCTTAATTTGATTTCCATGACCGAATTCCCTTTTATATGATGTATATTTATGTTATAAACCTTTTTCATTTGATTGTATTACATTATGCTAACCTAAATTAACTTAGGTTTAAATCTAGGCTTAGTTATTTAGCTTATAAACAAGCCCTTAAGGCTATAGAGGACACATGGCAACAGGGAGTGCAATGTAGATTCACTTGTGCTAGATTAGGGTTTAGACATTGCTATGTTTAAAATTTTGAGTTGTGACATCATCCCCCCGTTAGAGGGAATTTTGTCTCGAAATTCGAATTCTGAATGGTTACTGATGTACTAAGGAGAGAGGTGGGCACTTCTATTCCATATGATCTACTTGTTCCCAAGTGAATTATGATCCTCGCTTGACAATCTAGCGGATCTTCACTATTGTGTTTGCTATTTCAATTGGCAGGGAGTGTATGGGTTTGGTTTACTTGCATGAGTTCATTCGAGTGGTAGAGTGTGCGCTTGTAGTCCTGGGCAACTTTTGTCCTAAAGTTCATGGTAGGACTCATATCTGGTCATTTATCACCGCCTCGTGTATACAAGTCGTATATAATTAAGATTGACTAGATGGTCGGATGGGTGACTCTGCCCTAAATCCACAATCAAACAAGAAACAGGAGATAGGGCATAAACACACATCCTAAGTCTGAATTTTTTTAATTATATACCACCCTTATGTATACATTTAACAACGAAAGGCAATGTAGATTCACTTGTGCTAGATTAGGGTTTAGACATTGCTAGGCTTAAAATTTCGAGTTGTGACAAATACACATTTTATCTCGATTTCCCAGAGGCATATCTGCGGAGAAGCTAGCCGATATTTATGTTTAGAAGGTGGTAGTTTGGCACGGGGTGCCCATTTTAGTGGTCTCGGACCGACATGTCCGTTTCACCTCCATATTTTGGAGCAAGTTTCATGAAAATTTGGGAACTTAGTTGCATTTCAGTACAACATACCACCCACAGACCAATGGCTAGAGCAAACAGACAATTCAGACGCTCGAGGATATTCTTCGGGCGTGTGTGTTGGATTTCGAAGGGAGTTGGGATACTTACCTTCCACTATCTGAGTTCTACTACAACAACAGTCACCATGCTAGTATTGACTGACCACAATTTGAGTTGTTGCATGGAAGAAGGTGCAAGACCCCGATTTATTGGGGTGGGGTTGGTCATCGGTTCATGGGAAGCATTGAGGTGGTGCTTAAGATCATAAAGTTCATTCAGCTGGTATGCGATTGGTTGCGAGTCGCGTAGAGTCGATAGAAGAGTTATGCTGACCGAAACCAAATTGAGTTTCAAGTGGGAGACTTGGTGCTACTGAAGGTGACACCTTGGAAATGTCTCATCCGATTTCGGAAGCGGGACAAGTTGGTCCCCCAATTTATTGGTCCTTTCAAGATTACTGCCCGTGTGGGGAGGGTTGCATACCAACTATATCTTTCTGATGAGCTCATTCAGACCCATAACACTTTCCATGTATCTCAATTGCGGAAATATGTACGGATGATTTACCAGTGATTTAGTTGGATGATATTTACGTGGATGAGCACTTGAATTACATGGAGAAGCCGATTGCAATTCTCGACAGGGAAACTAAGTCTTTACGTAATAAGGTGGTGAATCTGGTAAAGGTGCAATGACAACATCAAAAGGGCTCTGAATGGACGTGGGAACCGGAAAACGAGATGAGGGAGCACTACCTTGATTTGTTTGATACAACATACTTTGAGGGCGAAGTCTAGTTCAAGTGGGGGAGAGTTGTAACATCTACAATGATCAAGTTTGCTTTATAACCATTGAGTTTTGATTTTGTTTCAAAAAGGGTCACGGAGTTAAAATCTTGAATTTTTCGTGTTGCTCGTGTATGCGTAGTGTATGTCTTGGTACACTTAGCGTACTAGGCCCCGTGCGAGTACGCGACACATAGTCCAGTATGCAGGGCATACGTGGCTCAGACCAAAAGCCTAATAATTAGGATTTGTGCACTATTTTAACCTCATTATAGCCCAAGACCTTCCCCTACCTCAGCCTCCATTCCTTTCTCGTCCCTCTTAGCAAACTCAAGTTCATTTAGAACATTTTGAGCTTTTTAGAGTAATTGTGTGTGCTTTTTGGTTGTGAAGAAGGTTATTCAAGTAGAAAGCTCCCAACTTGGTGTATGTGCTTTTTGGTTCCTTTCTGGACCCAGTTTAGTCTGAATTGTGTTTCAAAACAAAACCGATGAGCTTGCTTGTTGGGGTTGGATCTTGGATTTTATTGGGCTTTAAAGTCTAGTTTGGCCCATCCTACATTCGACATTGGGCGAGTGTTATAAGTCCTAGTCCAGATTATGACCCAACTGTTTATTGGGACTTTATTGTTTAGTTAGCATGAGGATTTCTCCAGTCTAGCAGCCCAAGCGTTTATCTATGATTTTCAGCAGTTGAGGTGAGTTTTGTCACCATATCCGTGGGTTGAATTCACTAATGCCGACCTATTTCTTGTTATGTGGAATGATTGATGTCTTTGTGATAATTATATGAAAGACCATGGGGGTAGTCGATGACACTTGTGTGTAAGACCGCGATTTGGCCATCGGCATTGCAAGGAAAGACCATGGGGGTAGCCCATGGCAATCGTATGTAAGATCGGGATTTGATCCTTGTCATTGTGAGAAAATACCAAATTAAGGGGAAGCGCTAGACACTTGTATGTTTTGTGTATGTGGTACATTAGCAAAATGTACTAAGAATTTGATTATAGTTTGTATTTGTGGTTTCAAATACTTCTGGTATTAAATGGAAGAGCCCGACTTGATGACACAACATTCACGCCTCACTATTTTTTGTGTATTTTTTATATTGTATTATGATGATTTGAAACTATTATTATGAGATGATTTTTGGAACAATGTGATAGTTGTAAGTTTTTTTAGATGAAACAAATAATTCTGGTTTTCGGGCTATTACAAATCCGTTAACCACTACAGGCTCTACCCAAATCTCCTAAACAACATTACGATTTCCATCTAAATACAACCATGAATTAAAATTTTTAAAGGGTATTGGCTTATGATCGAAATAACTAGTAACCAAGATGATCGAACTACAATTTGAGTGAAGCCTCAAAAGCACCGTCATCAAAGCCACCCCCATCTATCTAAAAAATCATTACAAGCAAGAAACATATCTTTCTTACTTAAATTGCTGCCATAAAATGATCGGACGTTGTCGTGTGGTTTCTTCGATTATTGCATGAAGCATGGTGTTGTATACTATGTTTGATAAATTCTAGACGACTTACGGTGCTCTATAATAAAAAACCACAAACCATTTGAATTTTATCTATAATTGACTCTCGTCTCTCTTAGTAGATATCTCATCTCTCTCTGAATGTGTGTGTGCGGACACTTGTAGTCATGCATGATCCCAAAATGCTTTCCTCACAACTTTTCGTAGATTTTAGAACCTCTGTGAGTGTCCATCTTCCTCCCCCAGCTCAAGCTTTGGGGCCTATTAGCATAACATATGTTAGAGTAGCATATATTATTGTAAGGATATATTTTATTTCTTAAATCCCATCATTGTCGAGATGTAGTTTGTACTCACACTATTTAAGTCGTGATTATTTTAATAGAGTGGCAAGCACATTATATGGAAATTATATCAAATTATAAAACATTGATTTTTAAACAAACTAAATTGATTTTAAATTGTTATTTCATGTAATTTGTCATATATTTGTATGTATATGTTAAGTGTTCGGAGGTGCTAGTATATGTGTGTAGATGTGGATTTATATATATATATATATATATATATATATATATATATATATATGCTGAATTATGTAGTTTAATAATTAGATATTTGAGTAAAGGAAGAAAAAGCAGAATCTTTTGGCCAAGTGGCTAAGTTATTTCTAACAGTAGCTAAAAACGTCCAGACTCGAACTTACCCAAACTAATTACTGAAAATACTCTTCATTTCTCACCCCCACGAGTGTCTGCAGTCTGTGATTTGTGACTACTCTTTTGAACCCTTTTCCTGTTCCTCTTCAAAATCATCTCTCATTTCCAAGACTTCTTCCCCACAACATGACGTTTTTCATCTCTATTTTTCTCTCTATCTTCGTACATTCGGTCCAAACAGCTCAGCTAGCAACATAGAAACTACTGTAATCATCATCATCATTATCTTCTTCTTCTTGTTCTTTGTTGTTTCATCAATGGGCATGATTTTTGCAGACTGTTTTGGTTCTTTGTCGATCAACAATGAAAACCCTTCAAAGATCAACGATCATTTCATCTATAGCAGTCTAACTACTTCTTCGTCGTCGTCGTCTCTCTCTTCTTCTTCTCTGGAGTTCCCTTTTATGCTCCCTACAACAACTACTACAACAATCAATAATCACAATCCTTCAAGAAAATTTCATGAAAATGAAAATCAAGGACATGATGACGAGGAGGAAGACGAAGAGGGGGAGAGAGAAGAAGATGACGACGAAGAAGAAGAACACATTGGCCTAAATATCAGTGGCAGTTCCTCATTCAATGGTAACATTGATAGCCATCAAAATGGAAGAGTTAGATCGGGTGGACAGTTAAAGACAAGTGCAAGAGGCCATTGGAGGCCAGCTGAAGATGCAAAGCTCAAAGAACTTGTTGCCCTTCATGGCCCCCAGAACTGGAACCTTATTGCTGAGAAGCTTGAAGGCAGATCAGGTACTTGTACACAGTTTTGGTTTTAGTTTTCTAACTTTTTTTTTTTAGGAGAAAGAAAAGTGTGTTTGTGTGTGTAGTTTGTTACACAAAAAAGGTAAAGATTTGTGAGTGTTTGGGCATTCCTCTTTCCTTTATGTTTCCTTGATAAGAAAGATAAAAGAAGTGGGGATTGGAGCCAATATATGTTTCTTTTCCCATGAACAAATGCGACAATCAGAAAACTTCTAGTTTCTTGATTCTTGTTTCGAAACCCTTGTATATTTTCTTGGTGGAAAGACTCGATCGTTGTGTTGATTTTCTTATTATTTGTTGTCGGTATTTTGAAAAAAAAAAAAAAAAAAAAAAAGGAAAGAGTTGCAGGTTGAGATGGTTCAATCAACTAGATCCAAGAATCAACAGAAGAGCATTCAGTGAAGAAGAGGAAGAGAGACTAATGACAGCACACAGACTGTATGGCAACAAATGGGCATTAATGGCGAGGCTTTTCCCCGGTAGAACTGACAACGCTGTCAAGAACCATTGGCATGTGATCATGGCTAGAAAATATAGAGAACAATCTAATGCCTACAGAAGAAGAAAGATGATGATGATCAGTCAAACTCAAACTCAAGTGGCACTACCACCACCACCACCAGCGGTCTCAGCCACCACTGCCGCTGGTCATCTACCTTACACCGGAGCTCTCCACCAACTGCCACCGTTAGATCTCGTTTCTGGTCAGCTCTTCTCTTAGCTTCCTTTCTTTGTGGCGAGCTTTTGAGGGTTCTTGTGATGAGTTGCTATTTGGTCACTGTAGCTTTGCATCATTACATTGAATCCAAAATTATGCAAACAGCATAAGTCATGGAAATTCATTAATAAATGAGTCGAGCACATAACATAATTAAGGATTCGTTGTGAAATTATTAATTTATGAATCTAACATGAATAATTAGACAATATATCTAATTATCATACTAATAAATTTGTTTTCTGCCGTTCCAAAAAAAAAAAAGTTATAGATTTGTTAAAATTGTCATCGACACTTGTTTACCAAGAATGTACGACAACGAGTTCACCCTAATTAGCTTTTTAAAAAATATAAACATATACTGTACATGAAAGAAGGGACAATAATAATATATCCTCCGAAAACATATATAAAATTATAAAACTCATGTAAAAGACATAAAAGTGATTTAAATTTGTAGTTTTAATACTTATTATAATATTGACCTAATTGTATAAAATAACCACTGACTATTAACAACCTTAGTGATTAACTCAGACAGTTTCTTTTGGTTGTTCAGTGACAAAAGTGTATTCTAAAAAAAGATTAATAGTTACATATATTTTATGTCCAACATACTTCGTATTTCTTTAAGATTAATACAACTTTATTCTAAGTTTAATCAATTTATGAACACCAAGGAGCGTATTCAAATTTTAATTTAATTATATAAAAACTTTTATTTGTCAAAAGTCAAAACACAATACAACTTAAAAAAAGACCTTGGGATCCCCATCAAAACTATAATTTGCACACAAACTTGTGTGATAAACCTAGTTTCGTTATTTGTGTCATCCTCCATTGGACTGAGTTTGCATTACAAATTGTTTTTCAGGTCTCAACACGAGTAACCATGGCAACATCATGTCTTGGGAAAACCATTCGTCATTATCGTCATCATCATCAAACACATCATGGATGATGAATACTACTAACCCCATCAACTTCCAGTATGATCGTCAACATCAGCATCCTCCTCCATTGATGAATGCAAATATGGAGCAGAAGTACTACTACTACAACCACCATCTTTACGGCAGCAGCTACTTACCAACAGCTGCAGCTGCACCACCAGCAGAAGAAGTTTCAGGGAGCCAGCATTTTTCTGAAGCTAATAATAACTTTTCACCACCATTTATAGACTTTCTTGGAGTTGGAGCCATATGAAGACCCAAATGTAGGATAAGAGTCTTGGAACCTTGAATGCAAGTAAAATCTCAGAGAAAGAGGGTTTCCTTTCTTTTCATTTCCTATATAACCCACTAAATCCGCAGAGAATCTCAAGTGTTGACTGTCTTTAATGAGCCATTGGAGAATTAGAGGAAAAGAATTACAAAAAAGATAAGCAGGGGTAAACGAGTAGTAGTTTTCTGATTCTCAATCTAAGCATGGGTGAAAGTGAAATTAAAATGTGGCACTTTATTGCTCCCATTTTTTCTTTTAAGTTTTCATTAAAAAATACTTCATTACTAACCGATGCATTTTATCCATGGTAAAAAAAACAAAAATATCTCTGAATATATTTAATCATTTTCTATATTGTATATGATGTCTATTAAAATTACAAGAAATTAAATATCCTTATACATTTTATTTTTATTTATCTTCTTACTCTCTCAAATGGTAATATGTATCATATTTAATGATATTCATATTATTTTAGTATATTTATCACCATTTAATGTGGATAGGAGGATAGTATGAATAAAATGTAGGAGGATTTTTAATTTCTCTAAAATTATATGAATTGTTAAAACTCTACTATTACGACCGGGGATTGTAGTTATTTTTTGGGATAATGACTTAGGAGATCATCGAAGTTTCAAATTTGTTTAAAAACATCATTCAAATATTACATATTCAAATAACTACATCAAACTAAGATATGTTCAAAAAATACTAATAAAGTACATATTCTGGTCAAAAAACACAATCTCTATGGTTTGGGGTAATTTACATGTTTAGCCCCTAATTTTTTTTATTAACTCGGACGGTCCCTGATGTTTATATTTATTTTGCCTCATGATCGAGTTAAAAAACTAATATACCCTTATTAGTTTCATTTAATATTTATTTTTATTACTTGTTAATTATTTATACAGTTGATATATTTATAATAAATAATAAAAATAATGTTAAAACGAAAGTAATAAGGGTATATTAGTCGTTTAACTCGATAAGGATCCGAAGTCGAAGCAAATTTAAGCTAAAGGGATCGTCCGAGTTAAGAAAAAAAAAAGTTAGGGATTAAATATGTAAGTTACTCCAAACCATAGAGATGATATTTTTTGAACATAACATATATTTCTTTGATGTTTTTTAAACATATATCTTAATTTGATGGTGGGTTTTAAATATGTAATACTTGAATGACTTTTTTAAACGAATTTAAAACTTGGATGATCTTTTAAGTTATTTTCCCTTATTTTTATTGTTCACGATCAACTTAAGCTTTTCATTGAACTATATACACAATTCATTTTGCACTGTCACTGTTCACCTCTAGCTAGCAACAAACACCATCGTTCATTATTATCCGCAAAATAACAATTAAGTTATTTGTTACATTTTTTTTTTTTGGGATTGCCGGTTTACAGTGAAGATTGAAGTAGACAGTGATGAAATCTTAATCGAATTCTCAAATGGATTTCAATGACGCTTGTGAAGGGGCCCAAAATATTGCATGATGTCTAGCAAAAAAGCATGTGCAATATTAAGAAAGAAAAGCGGTATGGTCTCCGTTAGTTTCGACCCAACAGCTATGAGTAAGTATGCGTGCAAAGCTTTATTGTTGCCTATTTGGTTTTTTTGCCGATGTTTTTGTTTTTCGGCAATGGATGTCTAGTTATATCAACATCGAATTGTGTTGCACCAAGAAAATGACCTGAAAATTAATTATTTTCGTAACATATAAAAATTACTAAATCTTTTAAAAAAAACTAGTCACTACTACAAAAAAGCTTATATGACCTGGTTAAATCAACTAAATAACCATACTTTGGACGGGGTCTTATGGTCGGCAAGTTTTATGTGAAAGAAGAAATATGTAACACTTCGAATTTCAAAACAAAATTTTCATTTTTATTGCACCAAACATTATTTAAAAATCCAAGTCATCACAAAATTATAATTCATTATCAAAACAATATCAGAGTATCCCAAAATCCACAAGAAATCATAAGCCGACGAATGTGTGTAATCATGCATCTGCCTTCTCGAAATCTACAAAAGTACCTAAAACACATTAAAATCAACACTGTAGGCACGGAGCTTAGTGACTTTTCCAAAATATCACTTACACAAATAATTAGCCTCACATGGCTATATCTCGATAAGGACTCTCTGGTCATGTGTCTCAGTGAAGGTCATCCGGCCTCATGTCTCGGTATGGACCCTCCAGTCATAACTCAATATATATACACAGAATAATATCACAACATAAGTCACAAAGAAAAAATGCATAATAACACATATCTCAATATAAGCAAATAAGACCCTCCAGTTATGTACTACAAATAAGACCCTTCGATCAATACTACAAATAAGACCCTCGGGTTAATAACACGAATAAGTCTCTCTGGTCACACATAAATTACCACACAGGTAAGTATAGTGAGAAGACTCAACTCAGATGATAAACAGATCCTACAAATGTTACTGCTGCACACCGACCCAAACACTCAAATGAGCTAGAAATGGAGTAGGGAGTCTAGATCTACAAGCCTTCCTTTGAACTCCAAACTTGCAGCAACCACCTTCTTCAAGAACATGCACCAAAAATATACCAAAGGCACAAAATAAGCTCGTAACACTCTTGGGAGAGTTAGGGTTTCGAAAATGGGTCTCAATGTCAATGAAGGGTAGGATATGAAGGTTACAAGAGCCATAAATGTGTTTATATAGTGTCTAAACCTTAAAAATTAGGGTTTGACACTCTGCCAATTCCGATGGGCGTACCCCAGCTTACGTTGGCGTACGCAGCCAAACACACACCTTTCATCCTTGCATGCACAGGACCAATTTGCCAATCTTTTCAACCAAGGACCATTTTTGCCATTATTTCAATCTACCATAACTTCCTCGTCTTAGGTTCGTTTCCAACGAACCTTATATCCACAGAAAGGTGGTGAGATGCCCTACGCTCTTAACAACTGACCATAACCTTAAGACTTCTCGAAAGAAACCGAAAATTCATAAATGACCGAGTTAATGCCTTTACCGATACCCATGGGCTCTAAAGCACAAGACGAACTCTTTTATCATACAACCTACCTTGCCCGCATCCAAAAGGGTCTAAACATTTCTTGTTTAAAACTTCAAAACATTCTCATACCCAAATTACGGCCTACGAGCCTTAAATCACAGAATGATTCGAAACGGGATGTTACAATTCTTCCCCACTTAAATTAGATTTCGTCCTCGAAATCATTCCTTACCAATCCCGGCCAGCTAAACAACTTGAGCAACATGGCCACATCCCCGAGCATAACACAACCTTCCCAAGGCAACCAAAACCAACCCTCGTAGGGCTCTCCAACTCACAGATGAACAAATCCCTTTCACCATCCGACAATAATCCCTTGCGAAATAAACATAACTACTCAACCTGGAATCTGGAGTCTTGAGATGATCTGAATCCCTATGAGACAACTCATACCGAACCATTGTTGAATCTATCCACTTAATTTTTCCCATCCGACTACTCGACTTCTGATAGTTGAGATTCCTATTAGAAAACATAACCACAGATCGATTATCCTTGCAGGGCACTTATACTCGAAAAAGACTCCGATAATCCTTCAAGTAAGAGACTTATCCCTGCAACAGTTAGACTCAAATGAGTGCTACGCAACAGTATCAAATCATATACTCTGAGATTATCCAATCCCAAATGCAAACGCCCTAACATCTCCTCCAAACAACAATCTATTACACACACAAGTTCCCTAACATCTCCTCCAAACAACATCTCCTCCAAACACTCGCGATACCCGAATTGAGATCCTACTCAGAAACCAACCCAATATTCAACTCATAACCAGAGTTCCATGGATCTGCACTTGCATTTTACCCAAGACTTTCTGATAATGATAGCCCTTTCCTAGACCGAGATATGGGTCCTCCAATTCATCAATAAGACTACCAGTATCGAACCTTGTCCAACCACCAAGTTCCCAGAAGTCCAAATAACAAGTCTAACCAGCCTATCAACCCCTCTACGACACGCATTGACCGCCTACAAAATCTTTCCACTCAAGATCTAATCCTTGGTCCAAATCATCCTAGGGAATTCTACGAGCCTAGTCGTAGACATCACACACTCCCTCAACCTATTTCCAACCTAGTGGATGCTAGAGCTACCCTGCATCCTTATAGCATTTCCACACTGATTAGTGAATGCTACAACACCATGCAGTCATACAACACTCCCCCACTGATTAGTTAATGTTACAATACCCCACATTCTTACTTCAATCCTATATTTATTGGTGGAAAACTACCTTCTCAAACCGAAAAGAACCCAAATGTTAATGTAGTAACCTTGAGAAGTGGTAAACAAACCGGAGAGAGTACCTCCAAGAAGAAGTGAATGGAATATGAGGAAGAAATAGAGATAACTCTCCTTGAGGATCCTGTTATCAAGAATGATGCACAAACCGGAGTTCGAAAGAAGACTACCTCTCTAGTGACATCGATAGCCACTCAACCACCATTTCCATCTCGATTTACGACTACAAAGAAGAATGCAGAGGGGAAAGAGATCTTGGACACCTTCCGAAAAGTGGAGGTAAACATCCTTTCGCTTGATGTAATCAAACAAATCCCTAGATAAGAACATTTTTGAAACAACTTTGCACAAACAAAATAAAATTAAAAGGGAATGAAAAGATTTCAAAGAATGAAAATGCATATGTGGTTTGTCAAAGAAAACCTCCACCTAAGTCTAAAGACCCCGGAATGTTTACAGTTCCATGCAATATAGTAGTGTCATGCTTCATCTTGGCGCTTCAATTAATGTCATGTCCTATTCAGTATATGAATCGTTAATTGTTGGTCCCTTAAATGAAACGGGTGTCATAATTTCACTTGCGGATAAATCAAGTGTGTAAGTCCCCAATCTGCTTGTGTATCAATTGATGGTGCAGAATCAAAATCAATTGGATGAT